AGAACCGCCCCATCTACAGCTGTAGACAGGCAGAGACCTGCTCGGGGAGCCCTGCCGAGGCTGCGTGGAGAACCCCGGGAGTCTGTGCTTCCGCTTTCCCAGCTGTCACCTGCCCAGGCAGCCGCAGGCAAAGGTAAAGCAGAAGGTCTCTGTTCAGTGGCCCAGCAGACCACACGAGCCCAGCCCTTCCCCTGTGCCTGTCTCCTCACAAGGGGTTAATGTAGGCACACTCGCCGTGGTAGGACGCACCTTCCTGCCCCGACACGGCCTCCATTCTAGAAGCTCCTTCATCCCGTTCCTCTCAGTCTCTCCCTGCACTGCCTCACAGCACTCTGAACTCTGGGGCCCCAGGTTGCCCACAGCAAGTCCATAAGTCCAATATTAGCCCCTATGTCTGACACTGGTCTATAAATTCCTGTACAACACATGCAGTGATGCGGAATGCAGGAAGATCACGGGCCAGTGGGTGGAAAGTCTTGTGGATCCAGTGGTGGTGGAAGCATCTCAGCATTGGCAGGGGTCTCCACGTGGCTCGTCCAGCTCCAGGGCTCTGGCTTCATCAGCGTTGCTCCATGTGGCTTGTCAACAGGAACGTCTCGCAGAAAGCATGTGTGTTCCGCCTCCAGGGAGGAAGACCAGAGTCCCCAGAATCCTCAGGAGAAGGCCATGCGCACACAGAGGCCTCATTGGCTGTGACCAGATCGACAGGCTAGACTTCACCCCTTCCTCAGGATAACAGTAGAGTATGTAACGGCCACAGTCTTGAACAGTTTGAGTCTCTTGTTCCAGGGTAGGGTTTCTAGAGACATCTCCTGCCGTGCATAGAGCAACAAGATTCCCCCAGGCCCTGGAGTTCTCCAAGAAGCGGAGCAGGAGGAGATGGGATGAAAGAAGCTGCTTTCCTGGGAGGCAGAGGAGAAGGCATCATGGGAGACAAGTGAGGTCTTGGACCTTGGGAACTTCCAACATCCAGTCACCTGGTCCTGAAGCACTGGCTCAGACCCACTCTCTCCTGGCACCTCAGTCCTGCCCCGGCCTCTGTGCCCACCCCTGGCCAGTGGGCCTACTTTCTTCAACCGGCTCTTAGAAGCAGCACTGCCACCTTGGACATTTAAGCTTACTGGTGACATCTCAAGGAGCCCTGGTGGCACCATAGGTGAAGCACTC